GGACTTCAACGCCAACCTTATCAAAAAAATGGATTATAGTGTTCAATAATTTCCTTTCATAAAATTCCAGTCCCCTAATAAATGTATTGTGGATTTCAAAATCACACTGATTATGGTTTGATAAGTTTTAATAATATAAAGTTATTTTCAAGAAAATCGATTTGATAATTTACTGTTTTTAGTACTTTGAGTATTGAAGTTATTTCTTTTAAAGTAATTGATACTTTATTAATTGTCGAAATTAGTACTCTATTTATTTCTACCTTTTAGCCATAAAAGATTAAAATCTTTTTATTTACTAGCACGAAGATTACTTAAGCTTAGACAAATACGTTCTAAACTAGTTTTCTAGACAGTTATATGAATATTTTTTTACCTCACTGTTTGTTTCATTGTTAGATATAGCGAACTTGCAAACATGAAGAAATTTTCAGTTCCTTCCTAACACATGCGTAGGCATACACAGAAATGGGTCGATTAGTTTCTTAGAGCAAATATTCCATAGTAAGCGCCCCCACTAAACAAAACTATTGGCAACTGGCAATGATTCTTAGCAATTCTGTTGTACGGAGATATCAATTAAATATGAAATAGAATAAAAAACAACTGTAAGAGATCACAAACTTGTGTACTGAATGTGAACAATCAAGAGAGAATTTAATGGCTAGAATTTTAATGGAGAACAATAGAAGAACGTCGTGTTTTTACTGAACATTAGAAAATGTGACATTTAACTACTCGTTCATGCCTTTTAGACTATATGTGGAGTTTTATGAATATCAACCTGCATATGCATTATTTCTGGATTAAATAAATCATTAATAGGCAATTCATGCAGTAGCAACCCTTGGAAATTGAGACAGCAATATTTCTCCAAAGTTAGAAGAAAAAAATTGAGACAGCAATATTACTGAATAAACCGATTCGCTTGTTTACTTTTTTTGAGCAATTTTCAGATTGATTTTTAAAACACTACAATATATAAATGGCACGTTTAGTACTCTAATAAGATATAAAAAATCATTTTAGATTATTTATTATTTTATTTAATTACATACAATCTAATGCATTAAATATTTTAGAAGCATGACAAGAATAAATAAAAGTACATAAAATTATTATCTTTATCTTTGTCATGAACTAAAAATCGTTGGATTAATTTGTGAACTTCTTTACCATGTGATATTTTGTCACTATTAATTACAATATCGCTTTTTTTTTTTTTTATTTCATCTGCAATTACTATTAGCATTGTTAATTATTGGAAATCCATATATGTTCCATCAGTACTAATACCAAACCACAAACATCTGCATTCTGCATCTCTCTCTTTTCTCTCTCCAAAATCAATCAATCACACACAACACTATTCCAAAACAAGAAAATGGATGCTGCGATTAGTGCTGCCGTTCAAGTTACACTGCAGAAATTGCTTGATCTCGCCACTTCAGACTTGAGTCTGGTGTGGGGTTTCAAGAAAGACTTGAGAAAGCTGGGCAGATCGTTGAAAATGATGGATCGTGTCTTGCAAGATGCTGAGAAACGCGAAGTTACCGAGGAGGGTGTCAAACTCTGGCTCAAGAACTTTCGAGATGTTACTTACGAAGCTGATCATGTCTTGGATGAGATCA